TTTGTTGTGACGATGTTACCTCGCTCTGATGATGTCCGTCATATGATGGACGAAAGCTTAGCACCTTTTCGCCGGAATCGAAAGAGATTGCCTCGGAAAGAGCGTTAGCATGAATGTTCCAGTACAGCCAATCGACAGCTGATCAAGAGGAATCGGCCGTCGTCTTTTGGTGGAACCGACCTTCGAATCTCTTCACCCAACACTTTCACTGGAAATGGAAGTAAACTCAACAATTATGAAACACGAGATTCTTCGAAACCCAACTTTTCTTTGCATAAATGATAAGTGTCCAGTTTAGATGAGAATGCCTTCTAGGAAAGCAAGGCTACATGAAATTTAATGGAAATGTAAGGTTTAATCATGTCACCTTAAATGAAATAAATTGAATACAATTGATATAGAAATGACGACCTGGTAGTCTAGAAAGTTTATTTATAAAATACACATAATGCTACTTATATTTGGCGTTAGTAGAGTTCGAGACTATAGATAATTATTGAATGTTTATATTGACAGTCACACCTACTTTATGATCTCTTGGCAGCTAGGTCTCAAAATTGGCACAGTAATGTGTCGTCATGACTCCATCCATTCGGTTTCACGTCCAATCAAAGATGCCGATATTGTCAGTCTGACGTTTGGGAATGTACCACGTCCACGGTTTAACTTTGGAAATGATCATACAGACAATGGACTCCGGACTAGGTGGGTTCCTCTAAGTCTTCCTTCCAATATGACCATGTTGCAAAAACAAGGTCAAACAACGTCTATACAACGAAAGCAGACTGCAACCACAAAAAAGGTCACACCATCTTAGTCTTCATACCTCCGTTTGATTATTGAAAGGTCTAACTGTCAATAGGCTACCACAGGGAAATGCAATTTCTGCACAAAATGCATGGCACCATCCGTTTAGTGCATCGGTCTTCTTGCATTTTGCCTCCCCACTCGCCCGCCTTCAGGATTTTACCAGTGGATCCCGATCATGCTGACCATTCAGGCAATCCTCTTTTACATACCACGCCTCATCTGGCAGGCACAAGCCTCCGGGCGCCTCGGCATCGATATCAGCAAACTGATTCGCTTCTTGCATGCCGCCAACTCGAGCGATTCACTTGTGAATAGGGCTGCTCTGATCCAACAAACATCGTATCAGTTGTACCATCTGGCTCGGGTGTCATGGCGCCCCAGTCGTTCTGACGTTGCTACCAACGTCAGTCTACGAAGCAAACTGCACGACTTCCCAGTTTGGCTGTGCGAAATACCGTTTCGAGGGCGCATAGTGGTCAACTATCTCTTCATCAAGCTGCTTTATCTGGGCAACGCGATCGGTCAACTGTACCTGATCAACCGATTCCTCGGGTTCGACTGTATGGAGCACTCGATGCTTCTGTTGGGCCAATTATGGTATCCAGACTTGCGCAAGCAACGTCAGCTGCTCAACAATCTTCACTTTCCCGTGCTGACCAGCTGTGAAATACCGGTTCGGATGACCGGAGAGAGAAGCGTCCGACTAGTGGCTCAGTGTGCAATGCAGATTAACACCTTCAATGAGAAGATGTTCGCATTCCTCTACCTGTGGGCCTTACTCGTCTCCGCCATAACTGCCGGCAGTCTTCTGCTTTGGCTGCTCCGGACTCTTCTCAGCCCTGTCTGCGGCTGTTTCCCGTACTTTTCCAGCCTGACAAGATTTCAGTCCTGCATTCTGCGATCCGTAAAGAGGGAGGCTCGGAGAGGCGAACTTTTTCAGAATGCATTGAAAGGGAAGCCTTTGGCGCTGTCGCCTAACAGCCGTGTGTTTTTGCCGCAAAACGTCGACACTATCCTGCCTTCCGACTTTGACGAAAGTGAAGATGATATTCTTGTCAGGATGGCACATCCGAAGAAACCGAAAGAAAGTAGTGGAAATGAAAAAGAAGAGAGTAAGTTCACTTATGTGAAGATGAATTGTTTGGATAAGAAGCCATACTGGAGAGGGGAGCTGGAATATCCTGATAAAGTGTGTGTGAATAAAAAGAAAAACATGTCGAAAAGGTGCTTCAACCTAGAGCATTTGCCCTCGAAGAAGGCTG